GGGGTTGTCTTTATCTACTCTTTATCTCCCTATCGCCCTGCTAACTCTCTTTCTCTCTCTCTCTCACACACACGCGCACGCACGCACACACTCACACAGGCGCACGGTATTTGTGTGACTTGACCCCTGCCTGCTCCTTGTGGTCCATATTGCCACCATGCTGGCTCCAGGCAGGGCTCTTCCGCTCTCGCTCCCCGCGTCCAGCCTGGACGGTCCCGGCCCTTGGTGCTAGGGCAATATGGCCGCGCCGCACGGCATGCTGGGTCGCGGCAGCAAGCCCAGAGCCAGGCGCTGCAGAGCCAGATGCCCGCTCAGCCGAGCTCGGCCCCTGGCACTGTGGAGCGAACGACCACAGCAACGTACAAATCAATTCTGTTGTGTGACCATGCCCAAATAGAGCGGTGCGCTTTGTAAGCTTGGATGATGAGGATATTAGTTAACTGCACGAAATCTTGACAACACTAGAAATGAATAAACATATAAAAACATTTCAAGAAAAATAAAGCTAGTAAACATTTAGATAAACTAAAGGTAACTATGATGGCAGTTTCAATCTGAAGCGAGCATCTTCTCTCAAAGACTGATAATACTGTGGACTCTTCTTGCTGCAGTCATGTAATAACTAATGCTCTGAATATCCCTGTCTTCATTTTGTGAGTCATCACACCTGCGCTGCATGCATCATGCTGGCTATTTCTGGATCTGCGCTCATGCCGTTTCACCTGGTTTTCTGTTTTCTTCTGAGGGATTTTAACACCCGCTTACTTGGCTCAGACATACAGTAATGTTGTATTTAAAAAACGACTAAAAACTGTGAGCAGCCTTTCGCAATTAGACATCTCCCAAACACTGAAAACATTCTCCCCAGCTGCTTGTATCATGCCTTCCCTCCTCCGACTTTAGACAAATATATCTTTCTTCTGGCTTGTCAGCACTCCTGTTTCAAGAGTGATGAGTGTATTAGTCCAAGGAGTTTATTATTACAAGCGTGAAAATGGCAGGCGTTTTAACAATTACCTATGAAAACAGGTGTGTGAGACAGGTCAGTTGTCTTTTGGCGCCCTGTTTTTAAAGAACTAATTACAAGCAATTGAGGCAAGGTCGCTGCTGTCAATCATGCGCCTGAGCCACTCCCTTGTAGCTGAAGTGTTGGTTTAGGTGACTGTAGGCTCTGTGTGCCTTCACGCCACACAGCATCAATACACACACACACACGCATGCACGCACGCACACACGCACCAAGGTTATAATACTAAAAGACATAGATTAAAGTGGTGAGATAAAAACTAAATTGGTGAAACATCTGAAATCTTTTTAGATGATGGAGAAGGTATAAAGAGAACATTTTTCTTCTAACCTTGACACACTCACGCTCACACCAATAATTTTAGAGAAGAGGCAGTCATATTGGAAAAGTGTTTCTCAAACGCAGCGACACACAATTTATTCCATGTTCCTCCTCAGGGGCACATGCTGTACTTGTTAACGCCACACACTCAGCGGTGACGGTCGCATCCTTTCTTTGTTTTATAATCAAGATAACGCCATCGTTCTCCTGTGAATGAGCAGCTTTCATGTTCAACAATCAATCAACATCAATAAAATTAAACTAGTGGGAATTCTTTTTACAGATTCTGGAGACTTTACTACCATTTTTCCCGGTCGGTGTGCTCAGACCCTGCATCCATTAACGGAATAAGAGAGATTATATATTCAGATGAAAATGCACCGAGGAACAGCAACGATTCAACTTGGTGTTATTACAAGTGGGTGACAACAAAAGTAACAACTTCTTGTTATCAGTCTGGGCTGTAATGCAAAATGTTACAATAAAAAACATTTTGGGATCCCTACAATCCATTACAGTCTGACAGCACACACAAGCAGGTTTATAGTGTAAATTTGTGAGGACAAGAGGTCTTCGTAAGTACACATCTGTAACAAAGCACACACACACACACACATGCAGGCAGACAAAAGGACAAAAAGCCCTCATCTCCGCTCAGTGCCTGCAGTGAGGAGTGGTGGTGTGACTGAGACGAAGACCCAGTTGTGTCACTTTACAACAGTTCAGCTCTCTCTCCCTCTCTCTCTTTCTCCCTTATTCTCCCCATCTCTCTCTCTCTCTCTCACCCAGAACCTGTCAGATAGTTGGAGTCTGTCATCACACCCCTCCTCCCCCTCCGACTCCTCTTCCCCCGCTGGGGTTAGAACGGTACATTGAGGCTAATATTAGCCTTTTATTTAAAGTCAGATCTGACCAGTGTCGGCCATCGCATCCCACTAAAACCATTAATGGGAAGGGATTCAAATGAGACAGTGAATAACAACAGAAAGTTATGGACACAACATGCTTTCTTTTATGTGAAAATACTTAAATAAATCATGTGTTTTTAACATTGTCCTCCTGTGATCTCTGAGGTTTCCTTTAACAATAAAAAACATACAGGGTAAGCTCAGAGAAGACTCAATACGACAAGTAAATTTCCATGTTTGTGACCAAAGGGAAGTGCTGCATTTAACTTCAGTTGCCACAGTGTGTGTTTTTGTACACTGTTATGTGTACCATACATTGCCCATCCTTTACTTTAATGTTTAAGATATGAATAGTCTGCCCTTTGGCTATGTCACTGCATGCAATCAAGCTTCCCGCTGCCCTAAACTACTTTAGAAAGGTCAAATGGGGGCAGATTCCCCCAGATTTAAGTCAATCAACTAAATATAATAGTTGCACAAAACATTATCAGTACTACCACCCTTTTGAAAAAAAATACGGGTGGGATTTTGTCCTCCGCACAGATACCCACCCAAAATGACTTGGCATTTGAGGCCCCAGATGGATTTGGATAAATGGAGCCTGGTGTTACCTACGGGTAGTCAGGTTTCTTCCTCCTGCTCTCTTCCTTTGACTAACAGATCTCCCCAGCGTTCTAAAAATACCAGGTGAACAGGGCCGTAGAGATGGTGATGAAACTGCCTCTCTGACACTGTCCCACTGCAATCCATCTCTCCACCGCCTGCCAGCCAGCATATGTTTGCAATTGGCTCCCCCCAACAGCCCCCGCCGCCTCTCAACCCACCCCCACTGGTCCCTAGTTGCTGGTTCAGATACCCCCCCTTTACACAGAAACACACGCACACATTCACACGTTTCGCCATCCTTTCCCTCCCTCTCTTTCTCCCACAGCTATCATCCAAGTCTCCAGTTCTGGGCTTTCAAAACCAGTGCAGTTATCAATCACTGAGCCAGCACTGTCATGTCGGACCAAACCTCTCATACACACACTTCCTCTCTTTACCATTCCTCCCTTCTTTCATCTCTCCTCTCTGCCTGTCTCTTTGTCATCCATCCTCGCTCTCTCCTTCTTTCCCCTCCTTTTCCTCCTTCTGCCCTCCGTCCTCTGCCTCCTCTCTTACACTTGCCCAAATTTGTTCCACTTAATAAGCCCTCCCCACTGACCTTGTGCTAATTAAGCTGCACTGTGTTGGAAATATGATGGTTAATTAATGATGAGATAAATTCTGTCTGCAGGACTGTCAGAAAAATGATGACACCGTGTTTTACAGGTTTAAATAGAACAAACCTTGTGGCCGTCCTCCCTCTAAGAGGGTGTGTGTGTGCGTGTGTTTGTGTATGTGTGTGTTTGTTGGTGAGTGTTTAAATGTGCAGAAATTAGTGGGAAAACAGAAAGAGACAAAATAATGGATGAAAGAATGAGATCTTGATGGTGATTTGCAAAAGTGTGAATATACAGTTTGTGTGTTCATGTGTATAAACATAACTGTATGCAACCGTACATGTGTATGCATGTGTGTTTGTGTGAGTGTGTGTAATGATTTAATGTGGCATAAAGGCTGAGCGGAGCGGAGTTACTGAACACACACTGAGCTCAACACTATCAGGTAACACACAGACCTTACAGCTCCATCCATGCCCAGTGTGCTTATATGTGAGTATGTGTGTGTGTGTGTGTTCTGTATGACCTTGACTGTGTTGCCACTTTCAGTTACAAAAGCCAAGAGCACAAAAGGGCTTTGAGAGTGTGATGCTGTAACATATGGGACATCTTAACTGAATATTCAATTAAAATCCAAGTGTCGTCATAGTCATCGTCAAAAATGTTCAGTTTTTGGGATGATGGGGCAGCAGCTGTGGCCTACAGTTTAGAGAAATGGGGCCTGGGACTAAATCCCTGGACCAGCAAGAGAACATATGGGAGGGGGGTGAATGAGAAGCAGTTTTCCCACCCTCATCATCCATGGCGTAAGTGCCACTGAGCAAAGAGACAAACCCATCACTGCCCATTATTATTGCCCCTCGAACATGCTTAAAAATTGCTGATCCCTCATTTGTAGCCATGGTTCCCACTCAATAAAATGCCCTTGTGGCTCTGTGGACACCTTCAACAATAACTGGCCTTTCCCAACTGTTTTTTAATGTGTGCAAATGCTTTGTCTGATTATTTGATAGTTTAATTTTAACAACGGTACTTTTGTGAAGCACTCTGGACTTACTTTGTGAGGGGTGCAACATTAAATAAACTTTACTTACTTACATTGTTTACTGCTCCCAGATTTCCTGTAAGTGTAAAATACTCTGACAATAAAGGATTCCTCTTCTAACTTGTTTGGACTAAAACTGGTGCTTTTACTGACTCTGTTAAAAAACATTTTACCAGATGAGATGTGTTTTCAAATCCCACATTTATGGTGGCTGCTAGGTGACATCAAAATCCTGAGCAGTAATATTTTCCTCTCTCAGATGAAGTTTATCTGACTGAATATGACATTTACTCAGTCACAAAACAATAAAATGAACTTAGGTATTAGACTTTTATCATAGTGTAGTCATACATCTCTTGTCCAACCATCACCGGCTTAGTTATAAGCAACAGACTTGTAATACACCATTTATTGCAATGAAATCATGAGATACAAAAAAATCTGAAACACATGACAAAGTGAAAATGGAAATAGAAACAGGAAGCTTGTGCCGAGTGTAGGGATCAGAGGAACAGTGAAGGCAGACACTGGTCTTTAGCAGTCCCTGGGTAGCATTGTCAGCATGCTGCTAATATGCAAACATAAGGATTTAATAGAGAAGAGGGAGAAAGTGTAATTGTTTTCATGGAGCAGAGGCAAGTGGATTTTACTTTGTGGGTTTTTTTGTCTGAGGAGCTAAAACAGTAGTTTTTGGTGATTTGCAGGTGAAAACACGTGAAACCATGCAAACTAAACTTTTTTAGACTTGAGACTTGTTTGACTTACTTTCATTTGGTATTGAACATATTTTAATCAGTGTGAGACATATTCTGCAGGATTTTCATGGGCCTACTGTACATACATAACAGTGTTTCTTCTGTGCCACATGGAACTGTAGTGATGGAAGCGTCCACCTTACACCTGGAATTGACTGTTGTTCTGACACTACCTTTTTCTTTTATTAGTTTAATTAATTGCTGTCCTTTTTTAAAACTTTTTTTTTTATATCTTGAAAGTTTCTATCCACTGTTAACAGGAGAAATATTTGCTCAAAATGTAATCTTTACTACAGCACAAAAGCCAAAGAGCTAAAATACATGTCCCAGTCAGTCAGACTAATGGTAAACTACAGAAGACGTTGGTCTCACTGGTTGGCCAACAGATCAGACCATACTGTATGAAGCTGTGAGTATTAATTATAATGTTGCTTAAGAGTTGTATGGAGCTGTGTCAGCTGTCCCTGGATAAATAAAGGTTAAAATAACAGAAATGTGGATGAAACAGAGGCTCTAAGCATTTGAGGATATGAGGATTTGTTTCCATCTAATCCAGATGAACAGCTGACAGTAGGAATTTAGCTGATAATGTCTGCGAGATGGAGAGGCATCTGGTCGGGCCGCTTTCTTCAATATCTGAAGCCACTTGTCATATTTAATACCACATGTTGTCAAAAGTATCAATTTGGCTGCGGAGTAATGAAAAAGCGGGTCTGTTTCTATTTTAGAGGCTAGCTTGACAGATTGAGAGGTGTTTAACGTCTCGTTTTGGCTTGTCAGGGTAGAAGGGAGGGGGGGGGGGGCTTCACAACTTCATCTCCTCATCTTTCCTTTTCACACACGCATATACACATACACAAGCACTGACAGCAGGGCTCTGCCTCTGATCGACAGGGCCAAGCGGGAGACATTACACATACACAGAAACACACGCGCTCACATGCGCAGACAAAAATGGTAAAAGAAACATCATTCATCCTTAATTCAAGAGGGAGAGCAGAAAGTAAGATGAGGGAGGGAGCCAGATAAAGTTTGACAGAAAAAAGGGATGTAAGCAAGCGAGCGAGACAGACAGAATGAGTGAAAGCCATTTAACTCATTAGGGAAAGGGAGGATCTCGAGTTATATATAACTTGAAATTTAACTGTGAGGACTTTTTTTTTTTTTTTGCTTTAAAAGCTTGCAGACCTCCATAGGGGTTATAGGAGTCAAATCATCTTCCAAAATCCTGAATTAATTGCCTGCTGTATCTCTCAATTTAGTCTCCTGAAATAAAAATGATGAGATACTTGACAGTCAGGATCCAGGATAGGGCAACAGATCTGAATCTAATTCTCCCTTTCATATACGTAAGTGTGCTAGAAATAATTTCACTGACAAGATTTACTGAGTAGAAGTCAGACACACGCTCGTTCTTGGCTCTCTCTTTAGTATGGCCTGCAAATAACAACAGTCACACAGTATATATTGTACCAAAGTTAAAAAAACATCAGAAAAGCAGATTATGATATGCAGAGAGTGTGTGTCACATTTACCTCTCTTTAGGCTGCCCGACTCCATGTTTTCCCAGTAAGTGCGTGCTGAGGTGTTTCTTCATCACAAAGGCCCATCTATAAAACACACACAAAAGAAAAGAGTTGACCAAAGAAAACTTTCAAACCTTGCAATGCTGATCAAACTCTGCAGCCATTTTCAGTCATGAGCTCCGGGAGATCTCTGCACAGTGGGGTCTGGACTTTGCCTTTCACATATAAAGAATGGCAAAGGAGATTCAATGGTCAGATGTGTAACAACAGAAACATCTCCGGAGTGTTCTGGCCAGGGGTCATACAGCACTCAGTGGAGTGGAGAGTGGGGACATTACGTATGAAGACGCTGCAGAATTCACATGTTTGTTTGTAGCACATCGACATCAGTATCACCAAAAACTCCTGAATCTTGCCTTTCCAAATTGACATATTCATTTGTGTATTCTACGTGCAAGTTCTACAGACGTAATTCTTACATGGGCTCCGTCAGACAACGACTTTTACGAAAGGGGGGCTGGCAGGTGAATATCTGGAGTCTCTGACCAGAACATTTGCATTCTCACATACAGCCCCACCTGATAAGTTCAGGTGAATATCAGAAGTTTGTTTATTTCAAAAGCGAAAGATAGATGCTGGTGGCTCATCTCTACAGTTGTGTGTATTGAAATACACAAAACAGAGTACCTCAAGTAAAAGTGAAGCTCGTCATTGTTTCCAGCAATGAGCTGTAAAACAGAAAGATGTGGTGTCTTTGGTGTTTCACCTTAATCAGATGTAGCATATGTTGCTTGTCTTCTATTTTCCAACAATAACATAAGAACACAACTCCATCCTTTTCTTACATTCCTTGACCTGTCCTCTTAAATTGAGTTCTCAGAGCAGCAAATGTAAGCTGCCAAAAACAGGGGATCTGGTGGAATAACTATTGTTCTGTTAATCGATGACAGACCGGCGAGGCAGACAAAATTTAAACAGAAACTTTTTCATACCACAAGAGTGTAAAGTGGAAAGTGTGTGTGTTTTCTTTGTGTAACTAGCACCTTTTTGGACAGACAGCAGAGGGACAATCAGAGGGTGCCACATGTAGTACATCAATGTGTCACGCAAATATGTGCAAGGATCCACATGCACACGGATCTACAGTACATTTGGCTGCACGCACACACAGTCAAAAATACCAGGTTACCATCGCTCCGCGGTGACCACAGTGTCCTGACTTTGTTGAGGGCCTTGAGTTTACCGTGTCTCCTAAACAGCATATGAAAACATAATGAACGGATGACAAGAATAACTACTCCGACATCCAAGCCGCTTCACCAGTGTTTTCATCCCCTGGCCTTTTCATTTAGCACCCATCACTTCCCATTATTGTGCAACTGAGGGACAATGACCACATCTGAGAGCTGAGGATGGAGCTACATGAAAGAGGCTGAGGGAGTTGAACCGACAGTCATGTGGTTGGCACTGTCGCTGCACACACCCGGGTCCGTCTCTTCTCCATGATATTGCTCCCATTTCTTCTTTTCTTTTCACGTTTCCTTTTCCCGTCTGGAGCATTATTATGGTTTTTCTCTCCGGCGAGCCTGTCTGTGCCTTCCTGCAGCTTAACTTCTAACTTTAAAAATCAGTCTATCATGAAGCAGAAGCATAATTATTTCACCATTTATGTCGCCATGTCAACTATCTTCCTCAACCCCCCTGCCAATGTCTGGACAAACACACACACACATGGCTGTGTCCTCCATCCCATCATGGCCCCAGAGTCCCGTCCGTCATCGAGGCCCCTGAGGCCAACGCTAACTAACACCACCATATAAATATTCAAACGTTCCACTGTTTTGCCTCGTTATCATCACTCTGCATTTTCTCAGTCCTCTCTAACTCAATCCATCCACCCGTCCAGAATATTGCCTCGGAGTTAAACTGGGAGCGAGCGATGACTAAATCTTGTATACTCCAATCAGGGAGACTGGCAAGATCAAAATGCTGAGCTTCCCCGGCCTACTGGAAGCGCCTCTGACTGACGGCATCATCTATAAATAAACAAACAGCATAATTAAGATATTTCTGAGAGGGATGGGGGGTAAAGGAATGAATCAATATATCTGAGAGAAAAGCACGGCCCTGGAACACTTTACGTGTGCTTGTTTAAGTCGTCGTGTTTAGACGTGGGGAAAAAAAGAGCTTGCAAACATTTCTGTTAATTATGTATTACAGCTGTCCTTCATAAACCTAATTACAGAGCGCTGAAAGGCAACAGGGGCAATTTGCATATGTGCATGAAAGACAAGACATATGCAAAATATGATTTTAATTAGCTTTCTTTGATAGTAAGGGGTGCAAATCAAACTGGCATGTTGTGAGATTCTCATCTCGCCTATTTTTTTCACTGGATTATTCTCAGAGTGGCATGAGTGTAAGTTGGGAAATGCCCTGTGGAGCCACCTGACACAGGCTGCACACGCATGTTCATAGAAATGTACAACAACGCTCACAACCCGGCACAACTGCGCACAAAAGGGTAATGCTAACACATTTATGAGCAGCAATTTTTCATGTGATGATCTAATACACAGAAAACTGATATTTCTGATAATATTGAGATAGAACGCAGGTGGCGGAGACACTCACACACACACACTTCATACAAATTATAATCTTTACTCACAAAAAGATAGAGTCCCTATCACTCATGCGTACATGCACACACACACATACTTCCTCTCACAAATACACACACACACACACACACACACATATACAGACACACACACACACACACACACACAGATCCCATATCTAAATGTTAAAGGGGCAAATCCATTTGTTTAAGGCAGTGTGTAATCAGCCCCCTGCCCTTGGTGTGTGTGCATCCTCTGCCATCCAGGTCAAGGCCTCAGCTTGTCGTCCTGCTGCCTTGGGCTGCATCATCAGCCAGAACCATCAGCCTTGATGGTTATTGTAACAAAGGGATACTTTAACATGCCATTCATCCATATCAATTCACTTCCCCCCCATGAATTGAACTAATAAGGCTGTGCCTCTGCCCTCCAGGGAGGCTCATAATATCCATTGCAGATATGGAAAAAAAAAAAGAAAAAGAAAAAGAACGACGGAGGCTCTGGTGTTTCACGTTCGACTTTCCCTTCAGACTAATCGGCGCGCCACAGCTCGTTAGGTCCGTGACGTGCCGGAGCTTTACCGATAAGCAGGGGAGACACGGCTCAATTACCCACAGTTACAATCTTTCTCTCTCTCTTCCCTCCCGCTGCCTGACGATGAAGAGATAACATGTCAATATTTGATACAAACAACTTCATTTGCCTAATGGTGTTCCTGGATAGGCCCATCCACAGGTCCAGAAGGGATGGGAGATCTAAGAAAAAGCCTGGAGCACCACTCAGCTATGATGTACCGTAGCCCGGCACCAACCCCCAAATATCACACGCACCCGTTCTAGAAAGCTGTGCACAACAAGGCACGCTGGGATGGAGCCAGGTCAGATATGACACACTTTTTCTTGAGTTACTTTAAGCAAGTTTTTGAACCGCTTTTGACAGCCAACCTTGAAAGGTCAAAGATGATAAATGTACTGTAGTCTCTCGCTTGATTCTGACATCTCTGCACTCGCACTGCTGCCACAACAGATGGCATCAGGTAAAAGAATGGCATGGGAAACGACAATGACAACAAAAGATTATAGTCCATGGACAAAATAACGCATCAGTTTGTCATTTCACCTCTAAAAGTGTGTTACTAAAATTAAAAATAGTTTCCGCGAGATTGCAATGACCAGCCAATCTGACAAAAAGTTGGTGCACATACGCTGGCACAAACTTAGGGACCAATTCCTTTGAAACGATGCAACATCTAGTTTGCCACCTGCTGTGTGCCACCGCAACGCAAACACATCATAGAAAAAGCTATGTGGTGAAAAATGAAGCTGAAGCAGGACAAACTTCTGTATTGTAAATGGTTAAAAGGCAACAGAAAAGCCATTACGGGAGAGCTACCAGATGTAGGAACCACTCAACCCTCGCCAGGCAAAGCTGCCGAAACCTTGGGAAGTCGAGAGGTTTCATGGGGAAAAGATGAAAAGCAAGGTGCATGGGGATGGGCTCTGAAGTTACGGGACTATTGCTGCGGCTCATTTTGAGGAGACACACGCACACTCTCTGCAGTGGTCCGCTGGGCCCCAGAGAAATGAGTGTGTGCGGGCTCATCCAGCCTCCTGTGCCAGTCCTAATGATGGCCTCCACCTGCTGCTTTAATGTCACAGCTGGATCGCCCTCCATCCCTCACTGACTCTGACTGCCATCAGCAGCAGGTAGCTCCCCTCCGCACACTCCTCCCTCCTTCTCCTCTGCCATCTCAGCTTCCTCCATCTCCCCTCACTTCCATCGACGCCTTCTCCGACCACTCATCTCAACAATGTCTCTTCCCTGTCTATTTCTCCACTGTCTTTTTTCCACCCCCTTCCTGCCAAACCTCCCTCACTCCTGTTTTCTTCCATTGTGTCCATTCTTCAATTACTTTTCATCCTCACCTTCCACAGTCTAGGCCTTGCCATTGTTGAACCCAATTCTCATGTGGGGTGAGAGACCAAAGAACCATATGGATTTAAGGGAAATACAGCCTTAATGTAGAAACAAAGCCCAGAGGAAATGCTACAGATACGTAAACATATTTAATGCATCTTTAGGATACTGCATCCACGTACTGTATTTAAAATTTAACAGGCAGATCCATAGCATTAAAAAACAATGCCACAACTAATTCAGTCTTCCAAGTAAACACAATGTGCTTCTTCCTTGTTTATTTTTTTATAAACCCATCCTGGAGAAGCAGGGAACCTGGAGGTAAGTTGACATGTTTAATCTGAGAAGCTTTGACAGGCAGGTGAACTGACAGAAGAACAGAAACCAACACTTGGCTGACAGCAACCCTGGAGCGCTGAGACAGCTGCCGACATGTCAGACAGACAGATAAACAGACAGGAACAAGAAGTCGAAAGATAAGACATTTATTGACAGATGGAGCGACTGCCTCCCTGACAGACAGGAAGACATCAAGAATGAGGA